GAAAACAAGAACAACACTTACTAAGCATAAACAACATCATCCTAAATCCGCCACAGAAAGATTAACCCTTCCACGTAAAGAAGGCGGACGTGGCCTGATTGACATAGTTAACCTTCACTACAAACAAATACAGTCACTGCGAGAGTTTTTCTACAAGAAACAAGAAACATCACAGTTACATAAAGCAGTAACTCTAGCAGACTCAAATAACACACCATTAAACTTACACTCACATCATACAGACATGACACAACACATAAAAAGCATAGACACCATCAAGCAATCGTGGGCTCGAAAGGCACTCCATGGCAGGCATCCTTATGACCTGGCCCAGGATTTTGTTGACAAAACTGCGTCAAACAGCTGGTTAGATCGGGGATGCCTCTTTGGGGAGACGGAAGGATTCATGATTGCCATACAGGATCAGGTCATAAATACTAAAAACTACAGAAAACACATACTCAAAGATACAACACTCACAAATGACACATGCAGAAAATGTCACATCATGCCAGAAACTATACAACACATCACTTCTGGTTGCAAGCTCTTGGCACAGACAGATTACTTACATAGACACAATCAAGTAGCAAATATAATACACCAAGAGCTTGCAAAGAAACACAAATTGGCAGACATCCACGAACCATACTACAAGTATATTCCACAGACAGTATTGGAAAACAACACGCACAAAATGTACTACGACAGAGCCATAATCACAGATAAAACAATTTACCACAACAGACCAGACATCACACTCATTGACAAACACAATAAAATCACATACATTATAGACATAGCCATTCCAAACACTTACAATGTTCAAAACACATGCATTGAAAAAATTAGCAAGTACACAGAACTCGTCCAGAAAATAAGGCATCTGTGGAGGATGGATAGGGTGCTTATTGTACCTGTTGTTCTCTCCTGTACAGGTATTTGATTTTGTCGGGTTGATTCTTATTGAATTTCATTGAATAAATTATTGTTTGATTTTTACTAAATACTGTATATAGTTTATTACTAGAAGTTTAATTAAATATTTGATTTTTGTTATTGACAAACTTTGTCATTATTTAATTCGGTGCACGCTTAAAGTCCAGGCCTGGCACACTAACGCAAATCCGCATAAAGTACCCGTTAGGGAGTGGCTATTTCCGGCACGCAGTAGTGTCGATAATCGTTGGAAAAGTCGGAAAAATAATATAGTACTTTACAGTTGGACTCACACAGATCTTGAGCAACTCCAAAGGAAAACAAGAACAATGCTTATTAAGCATAAACAACATCATCCTAAATCCGCCATAGAAAGATTAACCCTTCCACGTAAAGATGGTGGACATGGTCTGATTGACATAGTTAACCTTCACTACAAATACAGTCACTGTGAGAGTTTTACACAAAAGACTGGGAACATTACAATTGAATAGAAATACATATATCACACTACAGAAGGCCACTCTATTGAATACATGCCACATTGTTAGGAAATTCCTGAATACAGACACTGACACACTTATTTAATTTTTGTTCTTGGTTGCTATGCCTTGACTCTGGTCCAACATAGTACACAGCCACCAATGTGAACAGAGTATAACCCACTAAACCCAACATAATAATAATAATAATAAACTTAATAATAAGCTAATCTAAATTTTCTGGTTACTGTTTTTGTTTTTTACACTTGAATAATATATTTAATGATAATTATGAGAAAAAACTTTAATATATTTACTAATGTATCTTTCATTAATGGATTCTTGTATAATTTATGTTATATTAAAAATTAATTTGTAATGCACCGTTTACGAAAACAAAAAACACGGGATTACACAGTATTAGGGTTCAAGTACCAGGTCTGGACTTTCCAAATAAAAAACAATAATTTCCAAAACCACAGATAAAACTTATATTTATTGTGAATTATTATTATATTGAAAAAAAACAATAATGGGTTAATTGTCCCAACAGTTAGTTGAATAATTGGAAGCAACAACAAAAATCAATAATCCAAAAAATCATACTTATAATACCAATCAAAGAAAACTTATCTCCACCTCAAAAGGATCCTACAGCAAAAAGATACGGGTTCCGCTAATTGAGCACAGACGTCTCTACCACAGTTGTCACCTGAAGCTACCTCTCTCAGCTGTGTTCGATGTGCTGCCTTTTATTCTACGTCTAATGCAGCTCCGCACTGTCTTAATTTACATAAATTGGCATTACAGGATCAGACACTAATTCAAAGCAAACTAAGTTTGTTTTTCATTTCTTTGCCACATGTGCTTAGGAGTTTTTCCTTAACTAAAAAGAACCCCGAAAAGAAAAATAATTAAATAAAAATAACGCCCCAAAACATAAAATAATGATCGAACATTGACTCCTTAACAAATTGTCAAAATTTGACGAGATCATAGTTTTTGCAATTAATAAAAATATCAAACTATATAAAACCACATTATTATTATTACCATATTAGATTGAAATCCCAATTAACCAAGACCTTCTAAGTGAGATTCTACAATTAAATTATCTGAGGTGAATTGTGGAAGATACTTTGTCAATAAAGATAACAGAATAAAGTTCAATACAATTCTTTTTATGAATCTTGACATGTGAAACATAGTACTTTAAAGAAGACTAGGAATTAAAAAAAAAATTTATACTGGTGACTTCTCATAATATAAATTTTAAAAAGGTAAAAATGATTTTAATTGTAATAATAGATCTGGATTCACAAAAGTTTCATTAATATCATCATACATTGTCAATATCATTAAAAATGACAATTTAATGATTTATAACATCATTTACTCAATTCAAATTGGTAATGCCAAACAAATTGCAAAAATAACAAGACTAATTTAATGATTATATTTAAAGCAATTTGGTTACATGTAGACAGTTAGGCTGCCTTCTAATAATAAATTTATTAATTAGAAATAAATTCAATTATTAATTTAAATTTAATTGAATAAGATTGTTCTGGAGTGGAATTTGAGCTTGTATTCCTGCTTACCATGCCAATTATGCAGTCAGCAAGTTTATATTCTGGTAGTTTTTTGACATTACCAATTTAATGATTTGTTGTAAATGCAATTCACAAAAGCCATCTTACAGCATTGTACAAACTAACTACAAAGTAATGGAAAGTAAACAGCCAGTAAGAAATCTTACTCCTGTGGGTTTAGCATTTTTTGAGTGATGTTACTCATGAAAGAAGGGCACTAATCCAGATAATAAAATTAAAATATATGTAATTTTTTAAAAATTGTTTCATAATATGAAGAATCATATATTCTTTAAATGAATGTATTCTGTAATCAATGATAATCAAATATATTTAGGATATTTAATAGTAGGCACATATTAGTTGAAATTAAGAAATTGTAAAAATAAAGTTATGTAGATTGACATTTTAATAAAATATCAGAGTCAAAAATATATAGCCCTAACATTATAATAATATAAAGGAATCATAAAATAACATGCTAAAAAAATTCATAGAAATATGGTTGAATTTATCACTAATATAAGAAGTATTTTTTTTATATATTAATTAAATTAATATTTAGTAGTTCAATTTATTATAGTTATTTTAGTTTATTGTATGTCTGAAATGCAAATCACCCCTGTGATTAATTAATAATTTAATTAAAAAGATAAAAAATATTCTATGATTTTGGTGGAAAAATTTTATTTTTCTAAACGAAGGAAACAGGTAAAAGTCACTTCCTTCAACAGAAGATCAACATCCTTTTGTTTTCCCTTATCTCTTAAAAATCTTAGTCACCCTGGGAATTGTCAACCCCTCTGAAATGCTGATTGGAGAAAATTCGTGAGAAATAGAAAGAATTTTGCATGATTCGAAGAGTACTCCAAAAGATCCAGAAGAGGACAGACATATTCCATATCAACTCCTGAAGCCCAACGCCCATAATCGTATCCAGAAGATTCTACAAAAAAGGAGTTTAAGTCAGTAAATAGGGAAGAAAATATTTAACTATGTGCCATTAAATTACAGAAATAAGAAAGGACAGTCGTATGAATAAAAGTCAAGAAGAAGAGAAAGATATTCCGAGGTAGTATGAGTTATGATAGAAATTGTGAGCTCTCTCTCTCTCTGAAATCGTTTATTCTAAGCTCTCAAAATAGTTTTTATTCTCATATTCTGTGTATGATTTTGTTATTTTATTTCATTAAATATTTGTTTTATTATTGTTAAATGAATGTCTTTTCAATATCTGAATCAAATACATATCATCATCTTCTCCACGGTTCCATATGCGTGTTAATCCGCATACAATAAAATTGATTAACTGGTGTCATTATCCTGACATACGATCGAGACTTTGCAGTCCAGATCTTTCAAACATAATCAGCAGCCCTCCTAGAAAAGTTTAGTGAGCCAATCTTGCGATTATGTGCCCGTAAGCAATATACATAATATACCTACACCCTTGGCTCCTCACATATGTAGCTTATGTTTTAGTTCAATTTTATGTAGAGCATTAGATATTATTCCAGATAGTTTTACTTGATTAATCATCTCCTATAACAGATTGGAAACTGCCACTGCAGAAAAATTTTAAGTTGCATTAAACACAAATATCCATTGGAATAACATGTGCTCTCTTAGTATTTATATACATAATCAGTACCCCTTATTTAAATTAAAATTACATTTTTTGATAGTCCAATAAGTTTAAAATTACAATATCACTGATGGATAGATGGAATAATTAATAGATTTGGCATGAATGTTTGTTCTGGTTAAGATGTTAGCTAAGTTTCCTCTGCCATTTTGAAATGTATTATTATTTATCATAATGACATCTCTGCTATTTTCATGAAATAACACGAATTAATGACATGCCAATTGACAATATATTTTGTGAATACACTTGAATGTTATCATTATCATAATTATTAATAAAATATATAAAATTAATAAAGTTCAATTACTAATTTTATTCATATAAATTAACTATAAACACCTGTCTGAGATCTTCATTAGGAGAATGTAGCTGTGATACTAAAGCTTGCATGAATGGTCGCATTGAACATAATAGTGCTTTATTTGTACCATCTCCAAATGTCAAATTCGTAAGAGCCATTCCAGCATATCTTCTTAACGTCAGACAGAAACTATCACTGGTATTTCCATGAACATCATGATCTACTTTAATTAATTCAGCTATTGCTTGAAGACCACCTGTAAATATATTAAAATATACAAATAAAAATGTTTTAGAACTAGAAGATTGCATTACCCCGTAATCTCTCATGTGTTTACATTTGTGTTCACATTAATAATTTTATTAAATAAAGTTAACTAAAAATAAAAACAGTTCCTAGATATATAAAATAGGTATGCTAGTACCTATTTTAAATTTTATGATATACTATATGTATAAAATGAAAATTGAAAAATATTAAGATATGAATTTTCTTCAAATTTTTCAGCAACATTTTCTGTATGTTTCTTAGTCTAAAATGTCTTCATACATCTCAGATAAACTTAAATACAATATTTACAAATTAAATTATTAATAAAGGATTAATACATGTTTAATCCTTTAAAGGATAAATATTCATACATGTTTCAAATATTCATTTATCCAAAATTATTCATATATTGTTTAAAAAATCACTTAAAATATTCTTTGATACAGCTACTGTGAATGAAGACTACCTGTCACAATTAGGTTAGGTAAGATTTAATTGTAAACAATATGAATCTAATTCACAAGCTCATTAATACAATGTCTGAATTTCATTGTTTATACCAGGAATGTCCAACCCGCAGCCCACAGTCTACTTAATATTTTTATGTGGCCCACTGCACCCTAAATTTTTTAGGTATATTTTCATTTATTTTGGTAAAGTATGTTGTAAAAATTATTCTCGTTTCACTAGATACACTTTGATGTCATAATGACTTAATTGGTATTAGAAAACTGTTTTATCTAGAGAACTGTTATGCATGTGGGGTAGTACATGTTGTGAACAATTCTTTTTGTACATGAAAAACATCAAAACTGCTGAAAGAAATAGGTTGAGTGATTCCCATTTAACTAACATTCTTAGAATTAATAGTAGTACCATAAAAGCAGATATTAACAATGTTGTAAAAGGAAGGCAATGCCAAAAATTGCATTGAATTTATTTTTATTTTGTGAGAGTATAATTTCTTTTTTTACTGTCAATAACAAATACATATAATTACAAAAAATACTGTGTTATTAAAATTTAATATTTACATTTTGAACTTTTTAAAAGTATATATTTATATAAAGTACCTTTCTGGCCCGCTGAATATACCTAAATTTCTAATTTGGCCCATTAGGGAAAAAAATTGGACAATCCTGGTTTATACTATAGTTTATATTTTTACTATATATAGTTAGTTATCTTCCACCATCATATTTTCAATGAACTGTTTTATTAATTTCTAAAGTAAGGACATATAATAATTTCACAAATGGTTTTGTTACTCACCTCTAATTATTAAAATTTTTAATTTTATAAAAAAAAAAGTTTTTCTCTTCCAATTTTGGCATATTTTAATTTCTCAGTTTCAGCTTCCATCTTGACTATAAATTTGTATGAATTATTAAGTAATAAGACCATCAAATACAACAGTTGCCATAGAATATAAAAACTAACTCTTAAATTCACAAAATTAACAAATTTTATTCTTGGATAGTTTACTTTGGACTGTTAACTGTGTTATATTACTATGTTGCAAACTTTATTCTTTAAAACAATTGTAAACAGAAAAAATATATTTATATAAAATTAAAAAACTTAATATCTAAACCTTTACTTAACCTTTAGTAAACCTTTTTCCTGGACCTTCAACCAGTCAGTTCAAGTTTTATTATGAGAACTGACAAATGGGCATTTTGGACTTCTGCTCCAAACATTCAATTGACTGAAAGTCAAGTAAAACTGAAGGGTCTGATGTGAGCTTCTTCATTGGCTTTTGTCCTTAGCTTTTCCATACACATCTTCATCAACAAAAAGGAAAATATTTTAATTTTCATGAAATTTGAGGATTAACATCCTCTCTCTCTCTATCTGTACATGTATAAAAGTATCCAACTGCAAAACCAAAACTATTGTATACAACAAAGAATATGCTCACTTATAGGTAATATAGGTAACTAATATAGGTATCCCTCACTTAACACAGGATTTGATTAACACATGAAATTAATTGCAGCAATCCCTTTATATAAACAGCAGAAGTTTTAATTTGAGGATTAACATCCTCTCTCTCTCTATCCGTACATGTGTAAAAGTATCCAACTGCAAAACCAAAACTATTGTATACAACAAAGAATATGCTCACTCTTAATATAGGTATCCCTCACTTAACACAGGATTTGATTAACACATGAAATTAATTGCAGCAATCCCTTTATATAAACAGCAGAAGTTTTAATTAACCTGGCTTTAATAGTCATTTTTACTTAACATAGATATGTTTTTCTCAGCAAATTTGCTATTTTTGTGCTGAGGTTGATTTCCAATATAGATATATAGTTTAATTACATAATTGAGAAATTTAACACATTAATGCTAATGTGATACAGTGGTACCTCAGGATACGAACGCCCCAGCATACAAAATGAAATTCGAACATATTTTTGCTCCACGATACGAATAAAAACTCACCATACAACATTACATTAGTTCGCAGTGCCATTTTTTATTCACTTCTGTTCATTGGTCTCAGTCCGTGTGTTTGCTTCCTCGTGGAAGAATCTCGCTCGATAAAGGAAATCTTGAGGTATTATCAGAAAGTGACTGATTTTATTGAAAAGAAACATCCCGAAAAGGTTCACACTGGCTGTATTGCTGCTTGGAGTAATGACATTTGCCTAAGTCATTTTAGAATCATTTTAAAAAGTAGGCAAAGCCAAACCTCTTTGGATAGATATTTTACCAAGTGACCTCTATCCAGTGAAAGTGCTGGTGGAAGTGAAGAAAAGAAAGCAAAAAGCAGTGAATAAAAAATTTTAAAAATATATATAAAACAACACTAATTTTTTAAATCTTTTCTAAGTTATTTTTAAGTACATTATGTTATGTAAGTTAAGTTTTAGTATCATTTCCCTTCTCCCTCTCCTCCGCCACCAGTTTACACCTCCACCATCGTCTATCCTCAAAAGTAAAGTGCAAATAAAACTACATTTTTTTTAATCAATTATTATTCTATTATGGTTATTTTATACATTTACAACTACAAAATGCATTTTTCAGTGTTTTCCTTACTATAGTTATTTTTTTTAAAATGTACTACTTAGCTTTAATTTGAGTGTGTTTTTCGTGTTGGAACGAATTACAGTAAAACCTGTCTATGGCAACCATCCACGGTTCCTTCAAAAAGTGGTCTTGTAGACAGGTGGTCCTGTAATAACGTATTTTCGTACGTATTTTGCGCACTTTTTAGCCATTTCTACTAAGCAAAACTTGAGATAAGCAAAAATAAGCGAATTTTTTCAACAATAGGGCTTTATTGGTATTGTATTTTATTCTTATCGGATAACCCGATTTACAGGAGTCATGATATTATAAGACAGATTTAATACCATTATTTTAAAGATTAATACAATAGTCGCATTTTCTCGATTATAATGCACACTTTCTTTTTTCCGACTTAATTAATTTGACTCTGTTGTTTTAGTTCGCTCTTCAGTTACGTGTATTACGCCATCGATATACAAGCACGTCGTATCTCTACATCACTTTGGTTTTGGTATTCGTTAGTTTAATCTTATTTTAACTTTAAAAATACTGTATTTTTTAAATATTTTCTTAAGTACAATAAGAAAAATTATTAATTAATAATAAAACGATTTTATTATTATGTCTCATTATACGACTTCATTACATTCTGCAATTGTCATTGTGGAGTCAAAAAAGAAAGGTTGCCTGTAAAACTGATTTTTGCATTAATGCGTTTATTGCTTTTTGAATATTTTACGTGCGAAAACTAACTTGGATATTATTTTTCTAAAACTATCGTGGAAATATGTAGATTGATAAAGAAACTGTTTATCATACATGTACTGTATATAAGCTTAAAAAAAAAAATAATAAATAAATAAAATAAATTTTATCAAACGATGAGATCAGCCGATTAATTGTATCGTGTACAATATTTTATATCTTTGTTGCTAGACTAATTTATTAACATCTGCACCTAATTTCAAGGGTGGGAGATGTGCCCGGGATGGGTTCGAACGAGAGTTTAGACTAATTCATTATATTAGGAGGGGGAAACGTTGTTGAAATGGGTTCGAACAATAGTTTAGATCAGATACATTCGCGAAAGTGGTCGCTTATTACAGATGTTGTATGTTGTTTCGGACCAAAAATTGATGCCCGCGGTCGCGTTACATGGGTGGTCGTTTAATACAGGTAACTTATACGAAGACTCTATGGATAAACTATTCCGTGCCAGAAATTTTTGCCTGTTTTGACAGGTGCCCTTCGAATGCAGGTGGTCGCCTAAGCAGTTTTCACTGTATTTGATTTTACATATAATCATATGGGGAAAAATGATTCACCTTATGACATTTTCAAGATATGATCTCAGTTTTGGAACGGATTAATTTCATATCCTGAGGTACAACTGTATTTTATTCTTTGTTTAGAAGCTTATTTGGAAAGTTTACTTCACATTTTGTTTGCATAAAATCAAATTGAAATATCTGCAGATAAAATGAATATTGGGCATATTATGTATGCTTTTTAAATTTTGTGAAGGATATAATACTACACAAAGACTAAAAAACACTTAGTATATGGGAAAAATGCTCCTAAACACTGATGTGTTAAATGTAGTTTTGATAGTTTCATTTGGAAAATTTTGAACTAAAGGATACAAAATGTATAGGATGCCCAAAAAATGTTGAGAAATTTTGTGAAAAAATTGTTAAAAATTGATGAATAACTCAAACTTGCAACAAATCTTAATGTACCACCAACATAATTGCATTGCATGCATTACGTGAAAAAACAAACTGGATTGAGTACAATTTTGTCTGATGAAGGTAGGCAGCTCCAAAAATTTCATTTTATTTTTAAATTAGTTATTCATTTTTATCATAGAAACTTTTTCTCACAGATGACAAAATAAAAATAAAAATATTTATTAACCAAAAATTTGTTCTAGCAGGTAGTGATTGTTTAGTCAAGTACCAAGGTACCATTGTATTTGATTAATGTGATTTTGATATATGCAATAGCATCGAAGAAACAATTAATTGCATTAATCAAGGGATATCTGTACATATTAAGAGGATAGAGATAGCAACATTATTTTAAAATATTGTAGAATAATGTTGCTATCTCTAACTTCTTATCTGTGTAAAAAGCTTAAACAAAATGAATTTAGAATATTTGTTTAAGCTGAAAATTTGCTTTAAAATCAGTAAAAATGATTATATCATCTACGCATAGTAAAGTATGAATAAAAACATTAAGAAATAATTACATTCTTGGAATTAGAGAAGAATTGAGTCAAAAATTACTTTTTTATTTTTATTTTTATAAACAGGAAAAATAGTGGTCTAAAGATGTTTTACATGAAGTTGCATTGCCTTTGAAACAATTAGAAATATGGTCAGATATCTTCTAAAATTAAAGCCAGAGTTGAAATATATATTTTATAATGCTAAGAAAATTAATATTAAATTAAATTTAAAAAAAATAAAACATTTAATTTATAACTTTTCAAAACAGACCAAAAGAAAATTCACAAACAAAAGGTACTTTTAAAATCTGTAAGAACTGTAAAGTCTTTGCCTTGTTTGTTCTAAATGTTGTGATCTAGAATTTGTAGGCTTGATCAATTTTATCATTGAAAACAGCATTAAGAAAAATAAACCTGTAATTTTCAGAGATAAAAAAAAAGTAATTTAAAAAAAAAAAAATAGTAATACTTTCAATCCAAATTTCAGGCTTAATGCAGATATAGTATATACTATGAACTATAAGTATGCCATAACATTGGGAAAATCCACAAATCCTGACACCATTATAGTTTAATAGAGAAAAAAATACTGCTATACCTAAAGGTTCAAATGAATTTATTAAAAATTAAAATAATTTTTCACCATCTTCTACATAAAAAAAACTTTAAAAAGCATTGAACAATTTTATAGTTTAAAATTCAGTAAACTTTTTATTCTATTCTGTTTGAACTTGCATTTTGCACTGACAAGGACCAAAAGTCAAAAACATTCCTATTCTTAACTCTAAATAACCTTAAATACAACAGTATTTTTTTCCTGTATACTATAACAATATGAATGAATATTGTTCATCCTTTATAAATGAATTATAAATTACACTATTGTATAAAATAATAGAGAATGAAGTTCATTACAAACCTAATTGGCATATTGCATGTCTGTGTTCTTCATCAAATGAAAGTTTCATTAATGCTGCAATTGATGGTCCTGGATGTTGGTCAACTTTATTAGCTAAAGATTTTTAAAATATATTTTTATTCACTAATTACTAATTTTGAAAATTATTGTAAACAGTTAAAAATTTTCATTGTTTTATAAAATATAACATTTAAATAAGTTTAAATATGTTTCACAGTAAAATATCTGCATAATTAGTCATAATTTTCTAAAAATTTTTTAAACTGATTTAAAAAATAATTTAACAATAAAAATATTTATATAGCAATTTATCAACTATTCAAAACTTTTATTAAAAATAATGAACAGATTTATTGTTTTAAAATATTTGTTTTCATAGTTTGACTCACTACAAATAATTCTTTCATCTACACAAACTTGATAAAGCTTTAAAAAAAAAAAAAAAATGTAAAGCACATACTTTAACCAAATACCAAACTCAGCATTTTTAAACACTTAATGAACCATCAAACACCTTCTATTGCTGAGAAATGTTTATTAAACAAAACACTAAAGTTTTCTGTTATACCTGAAGATGGCCTATTCTATTAGGTTGAAAACATTAGTGTTTTGTTTAATAAATATTTCTCAGCAATAGAAGGTGTTTAATGGTTCATTAATTAACTCACATAGTTTAATTTTTATTTAATTGTACATAACATTAATTACTTGTTCCAAATGTTTTAAAAACTTAGAAGCTATTTGGTTTATTTGAAAAATAAGGAACAAGACATGACACTGAAAAATTCTGAATATAGATTACTATTGATTTGCATTTGCACAACAGATGGAAGAAAAGTAACTGACATTAATAACATCTCGTGCTACGTGTTACAAATGTCAACTTGTAAATAAAATTCTCTGTTCCACAAATGACAGCTTATCATCATACTTTCTGAGTCAAATAAATTAAATTACGAGGGTAGGCTGAAAAGTAATGCACATATGCTTGTAAAGCACGGACAAAATGAATTTCAGAAGCATGCCAGGTAGCATATGGAAGTAACATTTCCCCTCTATGTGCATGCACAGTTTGAGATTGTTGCATTCATTCAGTATATTTTGAGAAGTGAAAATATGGAGGCGTGTTCTAGTGCTATGTCAACGCAAGTTAAACAGTGTGATGTTATCGAATTTTTAACTGCTGAAAAAGTGACTCCTACTAAGATTCATCATCGTTTAAAGGCTGTTTATGATGATGATGCTGTTGATGAAACTGTAAATTGACGGATAATAAAATTTTGTGGTTGCGAGCCTGGAAAAGCCATAATTGTTGATGAAACACGCAGCAGATGTCCAATCACCGCCACAGACAATTACCGTTGACCCTTGTTGCAATGTTTAATTCTTCTCAATACATGCAGACTCTAAAACATCTCTGATGTTGAGTTTGTCATGTTAGAGACAGCCTGGCACCAATAATCTTGCAACATGACAACACTCGTCCACACACCTCACGCGCAACTGGAGATACTTTGCAAAACCTGAAGTTTGAACCAATTCCACATCCTCCTTATTCTCCTGATTTTGCACCTTGTGATTTTTATTTTTCCTCTACTCAAGACAGACCTCAAGGGTGATTATTACACTTCGGACGATGAGGTGAAGGCAGCTGTCAAGTCTTGGATTCGAGAAAAGTAGGAAGAATTTTTCAGTGACAGAATGAAAAAACTTGTTACATGTTGGGAGAAATGTGTTAGCCTTAACGGTAACTATGTTGAAAAATAAATATATGATTTTGAAGCTTAAGAATTGTACTTTAATGTACTTTTTGCCCGATCTTGCTATTTGTTTTTGTTCATGTTCTACAAGCATGTGTGCATTACTTTTCAGCCTACCCATGTATATTTATCACCACATTTATTTTGAATAAATAAAAATGTTTACATTGACAATTAATTTCGTTTTATAAATACTTTCTTAAACGAAGATATATTTATTTTTGTGTAGTAAATAAAAATATATAAATGTTTATTTAAGTTAAGAATATATCTAAGAAATACATTAGCTTTACTATATACAGTAAGACCCTGCTTAACGCGGGGGATGCATTCCTAGATGACAAAGCGCTAAACGAAACAGTATTAAACGGGGTCATTTTAACATAGAGTAAATAGGGAAAGGAGAACACGCAACCAAAAATAAAAAAATTTTACTTTAATTTTAAGTTATTTTTATATTAATTTGCATAATTATATATGTTAAATAACACAAACATGAACTTTACATTTCTGTGTGTATATTTTTTGTGATGAAGGTCCTGGCCTTTCTGAAATTCTTGTTTTTTGCGAAGTTGTGTAGTTTCATTGGTTGCTTTCTTTTTCTTTCCTTAAGCAAATGTCGGTAGCACAAGATTGCATCCAAAACACCTCATTTTGCTTTTGCACTCCTTTCAAAATCTGGCTCATTCACTACAATTGATCAATGATTTTGGTTATTATTACCAAAGTTTTACTAAGGAAATCTGTAGCAAGTTCTTTGGGTTCTTTGTTTTCAGAATCTCTATTTTCCAGTTCTACATGAATTTCTTGTTCTGCCAGTTCTTGAAGGACTTTGTTAGTAAGGCTTTCATCAGAAACCTGCAGTAACCCTTCAATATCCTGCTCGTCTACATCTCCTGTATTGATTAAGTTGACAATTTGGTCAACCTAACAATATAGCGATAGGCTCTTCTCGTTGAGAATTCTTGGATACCTTCAGCCATAACTTCTTTCACACTCTGTTCATGCATTTATCAGTTAATTCTTGCCAAGCAAAGTTGAGATTTCTTACGGCATCCATGATAATATATTTTTTCCAAAATTGCACAAAACAAACATAGATTTAAGGGAAGTACAGTGCTACAATAAATTGCCATCCTTTGCTGATTGGTTCATGTTTGGGAATAATTGTATTATGTACAAATCAATGAAATGCCATGTTAATTTGAATCAGTGTTAATCGAGGCAGCATTAAGTGGGCTCTTACTGTATTTCTTTTAATAATGAAAAATAATTAATGTTTGCTTTAAATAATCTTTCAGTTAACTTAGAGTTTAAATTACAGTATAATAATATTATATATAATAAAAGTTTGCCAATTTGCCATAGATCAAAATGGAATGAATAATACATTGAAAAGCTTTTATATACAAAATTTTAGAAAACAGCCTTTCATCCTACAGAAATTATATGAAATATTGAAAATATATGGGGTATAAATTTCAGGAAAGTCAAACTCACCATTTTCATCATTTTGAATTGGACCACCTAAATCTCTCATTGCATTACAGTATTCTCTTATTTGTTCTAACATTCTTAATACCCTAGCTTCACGACGCCCTCTTTTATCATCAGGGTGAGTATGGACAATATTATGTAAAGCTTGACTTGCATTTCGGCGAGCTTCTCGATCTGCTTCTCTTGAAACATTATCATCATTCTGTGGATTTCCATGAAGAATCTGAATAAGTAATGGCAAACAGCCTAGAATAATAAAATTTAATATTTAAAGCAAATTTCACTTAATAAAACTAAATTTTATTGTGCTTCTCAGAAATTTTTTAAAACTTTTCTAACCCGTCAGCACGCACCTAGTACCGATTAGATACTAATCCATTTTTAATTAGTTGGTGTAAAAATTCCAATTGTTTGAAAAATATGAAAAAAATTACTACCAAACTAATTTTTCTTTAATTTTACAATGCACAATTCACCTTTTGCTTAAAGCATTTCATTATTTTTATGTAATAATTGGTGTCAAATCAGCACTATGGCACACAAGATCTCGAATTTCAGTTTTCAAATTTCCCACCAGTTGCTGTTACAAAATAGCCACAGCTGCAGCACGCACACTTCTTCACTTATAATCACTTATTTTAAAGCAAATAACTTCTAAAAAACTCAAATTTGACCTGGAAATAATTTAATTTTTCCAATTGGTAATTTTTAATCATTGTATGAAGTTTTATGACACCATACCCCTTATAATTTTTGTATTTTTTTAATTTTATGAATATAAAAATGCAAGCAACTGTAATATATAAATTAAAGAATTTTTGTTTATTAACTGCATCTAGATGCATATGTATCCAGCAGATACATAATGGGGTATTTTTATTGAATTTCTTAAAAATAAAACAGTTGAAGTGAGGGCCTTTTAGTATTTCTCAATTGATATGTTCTGAAGTGATTCCCACAGTAGTTTTCAAGTTTATGACCTTTTTTACGAAGACATTTTACGAAAACCAATATCTTTTCACCACCTGCAAAAAATTATCTTGCAGCATGAGAGCATTGTACTCTTGTGATTGTTATGTGTAACAATAATCAACAGGTTGATATTCACGCCAAATACGGTATAGTAGGACAGAGAAATCACTGAGAATAGTGTTATATGTACGTTTTTATCGCAAGTACTTTCGACAAACTTATAGTCATCATCGTCAGGCAAATATGGAAATTTAATAAACATGAACAGAAATAATCCGATGAAGAACAGAATGCATATACAGTAGAGCATCGATTATCCGAATCAATTGGGAACTGGGGTCATTCGGAAGATTGTATTTCGGATAACCAATTATGTACGAAAAAATATATTAATTTATCCCATGCTGAAATTTTTGTCTGTTGTGTGTCACTTTGCATTAAATTTTCGTTGATGTTAAGCCTAATGAAGACTATTGTATCATTAAAAATTATTTTTTTATTTTGTACAAACAAAATAAACATATTGAAACAATAAAAAATTATACTTCAGAAGTTAATTTAGTATCAAAAATGTAAAATATTTGAGTAGCCCAAGACATAGCCAAAGATTGCAGTGCCACAGCACTGGCAAAAATTTAAATTTGCCGACTGGAACTCTTTCGGATAATTGACTTTTGGATAATCGACGCTCTACTGTAATTCAAATTAAAATGTTTGACATCACTGTTAAGAACAAGCTACAAATATTTAAATGTGTTCAAAATTGAACGAGCAGTAAGTTATGTAATATGCAAAGCGGCGCATGCGTGGATCTAGGCCACTTTATAAGTATAATGGAGGATAATGATAGTTGTTTAACCGCTTATACAGCATGACCCATACACTGGACAGGTCGAGGGTAAGAGTGTTGCAAGTATCCAAGGTAGTAGTAAGAAGGGATTCCCATATAAAAATGAGTTTTCGATTTTTGCAGCACTTCAGCATAATTGTTTGGAACCGTAGCAAGTTGTAATCCTGCTCAAGTATCTTTTTTGTAAGTTCTGTAGTGTGTCTTCCCTTCACAACATCCTCTTAGTGTTCTGCAAGGTGGCTAGCAAGAATTCTTGTTGTGGTCCCAATGTACCTTGTGTTTACTCCTGTTGCAAGATTCTCCAGTGGTACAGCATAGACCACAGACTTCTCAAGAGTAGAAAACTTGTCCCAATTATTGCAAATGAGCTTGTGTAGATTTGGAAGTGGGAATAGTGACAGGACAAGGTTGTGCTGCTTAAAAATATGGCAAATGTGTATAGAAAGGGGTCCAAGGTATGGCAACGATGTTTGGACCACAGAAATTTCACTCTTATTGCTTAGCATAGGGCTTGGAAACAGGGATTTTTTTTTACCATATTGAGCACATGGTAAATTTGGCACGCAAAAACCAGCAGTGCATACCACCAAACTAATGTTGTCTAATTCAATATTCTAATTCAGCACTTGCGAAGATGATAGTAAGAAAGCTTTTCTGATGAGGGTGGCAATGGCAGCATTAACGTATCCTGAAGGCTGGAAGGACTCTGCTGGGATAACATGTGGTGCTATTTCAATATTTGTTGCTTCTCTTAACAGTGTTGTCAAAAGTTTTATTAAATTTCTGTATAGTTGTCATTGTCATCAGGCAAATAAGTTTGTAAAAAGTACTTGCGATAAAATTGTACATATTACACCGTTCTCAGTGATTTCTCCATCCTACTATTATAGGCAACAATTGTGATTTAATAAAATAACTATGTAGAATATTTACCAACACATTACCACAATGCTACACATTATATCTTTTTCTCCTAGTTTCAATGACAGGACCAATCCCAATACATTTCAAATAAGTCATTGCAGCTTTTTTTGACAAAGCAATTTTCTCACTTTGGTGTTATGCCATGCTGTCTCACTATCAGTTGAATGATAAGAAATCTAACACTTTCAATTTTGCAACAATTAAAATTTATGTTCATAATGTAGCAATACCATTTAGTAATTGTGACCCAAACATTTATTTGGTAATTTTATAAATATCCTACTTCCTACTTTATATAAGGTATGTATTTGTAAGACACGTGATACAAAATATATACAGTACAGTTTTGTGTTTAATATATTTTTTCATAAACGATCAGTTATCTGTGAAAAACCGTGGGCCAAGGGTTAATCCCTCTTGACCACTTACTCAGCAACAGTCTGCCAGGACCACTCACGTTGTCGTTCCGGATGGCTTTTTATCGAGTGGTGAGGGAGGTGAGAAAGTTGGCAGGTGTCCTTTCAGAGACAGGAGACAGGCTTAACAAAACAAAGCATTTATTATACAGCTAACACTAAAATACAGGAGACTATACCAGGTTAAATGCATATCTCTAGGTTAAATGCAATTAACATAACATAACCAAAATCTACAATTTTGACAACTGGTTGTCTATTCTATGAAGGCTATATCTACTTCCATTACAGGAGAGAGTTCGCAGTCCACTCAAAAATTACCTCTAAAGTTGGAGAAGTTCTACATGCGGCGATGAAAGTTCTTTATGGAAGCGTTGGGCATTGTCAATGTCTTCTACCATTACGGGAGACGAGAAATCACTATGACCAAATATAACTTCCATGTGCAAACTCTCAAGTTTCTGGTGGCTCACACCTTTTATATCATTGTTGTAGGAAATCTAACATGTGATCGACTTTTGTTGACGATGACGGTGCATTCTTGACATCTATGTGTCAACTTTCCCACTGACTTGTTATTACAATTGGTGACCTCTGATCTAATTTCTATCTCTCCGTTTTTTCTAATGAAGATGTTTACAATTATTTGCCTGACAACTAGGTAAAATTTGTGGATTTCACATATCCAAACAATCCCAGTCCTGAATTGTTTTGGATAATCGATGCTCTACTATAATAAAAAAAAAATTAGCAGTTTATTTATTGTACTTTACAGTGGGAAAGCGGCAGAGTCTATTACTTTCACAGGAGAAAATAAACAAAGCTTTACTATCCTGAATTTGAAAAATAATACAATCCTGTGAAATTTATCTTATTGACATCAGATTTGTTAAAGTTGAAATTATTTATAGTGAGTTGATATTTGATATGTATAGTTTTTTGCATTTACAGATCAAACTACAGAAAATATAAATAAAAATCTGTTTTTTAAACCCACAAGTATTTTATACTTTTAGATAGTAGAGAAAATGTAGAAATCAAAAATATAATCATAGTCAAGCATATATATCAGTAAAAATATAAAAATTGCATTAAAATAACTCTCTCTGATGAACATCAAATGAAAAAGTAATTAAATTGAGTCCTGCCGCCATATTGATTAACATAGTAATTAATGCATGGTAATTAATCGATTCTGAGCACGTCACATCAAATAAACTAATTTATAAAAATTAAAATAATAAACATGTATATAAAATAATTGACTATATCTGTTTGCAATAATGTTGTAAAACACACTGCACTTATAGTTTAGCATTTCCGATAATATTTAATTAATTTTTGAATTTTATTATATTTTATATATAAAAATCCAAGAAAAACATATAAAAAATATCTGCAACTTCAGGCATTACAAAAATATCAGAATCCATCAAAAAAACGTTATTTAATAATAATTAAAATCAAGAAAAAAATAAAATTTTCAAGCTAACAAAATTTCTGTTGTAAAAAGTAAGGTATGCAATCACATGATGCCCATCTCCCCATCTTGTATAATCAAAGCAACTGAGGTCGAAATAAGAGCCTCTAAACTCCAGTAGAAGTAAAAACACGCATCGGCAAGTGTCTAGGACAATAAACTTGGACAAGAGTGAAAATGAAACATGACACCTTGTAATTTATGCTAATTACCTTCTAATATTAAAAAATTAAAATCTTCAATAAATTATAACCAAATTAAGGTTTTTTGACTGAATTTGACTAGAAACATATTGAGAAACTGAATTAAAATAAAATTACTGGTTTTTTAATGATAAATTTTCATTAATTAATTTTTTAAATTGGTGTTGGATTGACTGTGGGTGTGCAATTTATATTTGATGGTGCAGGCACATGATGACGGGTTAAATAATAAATACAAGAATGTTTAATATTCTAAAATTTTATTTCAAAATTCTATGTGAAAAGTTTTATTAAAACTTTTTATGTAAAAACGTTCTTTAACAGATTCTAGAAGGTAAAATTTTAAACACTATGAAATAACAATGACTATCTCAAATATAGACTTTGGAAATATTAAGATTAATTATCTATATAAGCAAATAATATTTTCCTTAATTGCTACATAAAAAATTTTTATTCAATAATGAATAATTTTTATATAAACAACTTTTTGTATTTCATTTTATTTCAAATATGCAGCAATATATGCATAATATGTTGCTGTATATATACAAAACCACTTGAATTTGCAGAAAGTTCTGATACAGGCAATGAAGGTGACACATTGTTAGGGATATTATAAAATATTTCAAATATCTCTACGTATCTTTATTAACAAAAATAAACATTAATAAACTTTCAAATTCACATCATTTATATTTTATATCTTTTTAATTTTAATTTTTCATATTAATTAATAACAGTTTCCTTTGAATAATTTCTGTTATCTAGATGAACTTTTGTTTTAATAGTTATACTACAATGCATTATTATGATAAAATATAGATAATTGAATAAAATAGCAAAAATAAATAAACCTAATGTTGCAAGTTATGGAATAAATGTGAATTCAAAGTAATAAAAATACATTAAATTCAAAATAACAAAAATATAGTAAAATTAATTTAAAAATCAATAATAATAAAATAAGCTTAATAAAATAAAAATTTAGCAATCACTCAATAAACATAACAGGTATAAAGATGAATGATGACCACATATCATTCATATGTATGTAATTTGTAATTAAGTGTATAAATATACAGGTATACCTCGCCTTACGTCGGTAATTGGTTCCAGGAAAACGACGTAAGTCGAAAAACGACGTAAGTCGAATTTACCTGTCTCCGAATCTACTTATCACTAGGAAAGCATTTTAAATAATATATGGTTAATAAAAATCTATTTTAAGCTTACAAACAAATAAATTTTAGTTTTTAATATAGTACAAAAAAAATAATCTAAATTTACGAATGCGTGTACTGTAAATACAGTACATACTTGTATATATTTTAATATGATTTTATGTGCTTTAAACGTTTATCTAGTGATATTACGACTTCAATATTTGTGGCGGACAGACGTAAAGTCGAATAAAATGACTTAAACTTGATTTTTATTTTTCCATAT